TGCTCAGTGAGTTTACATGTTAGAGGGAGCTGGGTATAGTGACACAGTAACAGAGGGATTGAGGGCCCTGCTCAGTGAGTTTACATGTTAGAGGGAGTGGGGTATAGTGACACAGTAACAGAGGGATTGGGGGTCTGCTCAGTGAGTTTACATGTTAGAGGGAGTGGGGTATAGTGACACAGTAACAGAGGGATTGAGGGCCCTGCTCAGTGAGTTTACATGTTAGAGGGAGTGGGGTATAGTGACACAGTAACAAGGGGATTGAGGGCCTGCTCAGTGAGTTTACATGTTAGAGGGAGTGGGGTATAGTGACACAGTAACAGAGGGATTGAGGGCCTGCTCAGTGAGTTTACATGTTAGCGGGAGTGGGGTATAATGACACAGTAACAGAGGGATTGAGGGCCCTGCTCACTGAGGTTACATGTTAGAGGGAGTGGGGTATAGTGACAGTAACAGAGGGATTGAGGGCCCTGCTCAGTGAGTTTACATGTTAGAGGGAGTGGGGTATAGTGACAGTAACAGAGGGATTGATGCCCTGCTCAGTGAGTTTACATGTTAGAAGGAGTGGGGTATAGTGACACAGTAACAGAGGGATTGAGGGCCCTGCTCAGTGAGTTTACATGTTAGAGGGAGTGGGGTATAGTGACACAGTAACAGAGGGATTGAGGGGCCTGCTCAGTGAGTTTACATGTTAGAGGGAGTGGGGTATAGTGACACAGTAACAGAGGGATTGAGGGCTTGCTCAGTGAGTTTACATGTTAGAGGGAGTGGGGTATAGTGACACAGTAACAGAGGATTGAGGGCCTGCTCAGTGAGTTTACATGTTAGAGGGAGTGGGTATAGTGACACAGTAACAGAGGGATTGAGGGCACTGCTCAGTGAGCTTACATGTTAGAGGGAGTGGGGTATAGTGACACAGTAACAGAGGGATTGAGGGCCCTGCTCAGTGAGTTTACATGCTAGAGGGAGTGGGGTATAGTGACAAAGTAACAGAGGGATTGAGGGCCTGCTCAGTGAGTTTACATGCTAGAGGGAGTGGGGTATAGTGACACAGTAACAGAGGGAATGAGGGTCATGATGCCCATGAGCTGCGTTGGGTGCCACCCTGCTGTGAACACGGTTCCTCATCCTCATCATCCTCCTCCTCATCCTCCAGAACTGTGCCCTGGCTGGACAATTGTGTACCTGGCCTATGCTGGTGCAGGAACCCACCCTCCAAGCCACTTGTGAATGACTGGCCTGATAACTGTGGAAATGACCCCTCCTCCTCTTCCTCCTGTGCCACATCCTTTTCCATCATTGCCCGCAGCGTTTTTTCAAGGAGACAGAAGCGGGATTGTAAGGCTGAGAACGGCGTCATCGGCACTGGCCATGTTGGTGGAGTACTCGAAACAGTGCAAAATGGCACACAGGTCTCGCATGGAGGCCCACTCATTGGTGGTGAAGTGGTGCTGTTCCGTAGAGCTACTGACCCGTGCGTGCTGCATCTGAAACTCCACTATCGCCTGCTGTTGCTCGCACAGTCTCTCCAGCATGTGCAAGGTGGAGTTCCACCTTGTGGGCACGTCACATATGAGGGGTTGAGCGGGAAGGCCAAAGTTACGCTACAGCACAGACAGGTGAGCAGCAGCAGGGTGAGAACAACTAAAGCGCGCACAGACGGCCCGCACTTTCTGCAGCAGGTCTGATATATCTGGGTAGTTTTTCAGGAATTTCTGCACCACCAAATTCAGCACATGCGCCAGGCAAGGAATGCGCGGCAAACCGGCTAGGCCCAGAGCTGCTACGAGATTTCGCCCATTATCGCACACCGCCAGGCTGGGCTTGAGGCTCAGTGGCAACAACCACTCATCGTCTGTTGTTCCATACCCGTCCACAGCTCCTGCGCGGTGTGAGGTTTCCCCCCAAACATATCAGTTTTAATACAGCCTGCTGTCGTTTCCCCCTGGCTGTGCTGAAGTTGGTGGTGTTACGCTTCCCGGATGAGGTGGTGGTAGAGGAGGAGGAAGCGGAGTAGGAGGAGGAGGCAACAGGAGGCACAGAGAAATGCCCTGCAATCCTCGGTGGCGGAAGGACATGCCCAAAATGCTATCCGCATCAGGCCCAGCCGCCACTACATTTGCCCATTGTG